TGACAAAGCAGGAAAGAATATCCAATGGAAAACAGACAGTCTCTTCAATAAATGGTGTTGGGAAAACTGGACAGCAACATAAGAAAAAGAAACTGGACCACTTTCTTATACCATACACAAAAATAAATTCAAAATGGATTAAAGACCTAAGTGTGAGACTAAAACCATAAAAATCTTAGAGGAGGACACAGGCAGTAACTTCTTTGACATCAACTGTAGCAACTTCCTACTAGATATGTCTCTTGAGGCAGGGAAACAAAAACAAAAATAAACTATTGGGACTTCATCAAAATAAAAAGCTTCTACACAGCAAAGGAAACAACAAAACTAAAAGACATCTATTGAATGAGAGAAGATATTTGCAAATGACATATTTGATGAAGGGTTAGTATCCAAAATATATAAAGAGCTTGTAAAATGGAACACCCCAAAACCAAATAATCCAGTTAAAAAATGGGCAGAAGAAACGAACAGACATTTTTCCAAAGAAGACATACAGATGGCTAACAGACACATGAAAAAATGCTCAATATCACTTATCATCAGGGAAGTGCAAATCAAAACCCCAATGAGATACCACCTCACACCTGTCAGAATGGCTAAAATTAACAAGTCAGGAAACAACAGGTATTGGTGAGGATGCAGAGAAAGGGGAACCCTCTTACACTGTTGGTGGGAATGCAAACTGGGGCAGCCACTGTGGAAAACAGTATGGAGGTTTCTCAGAAAGTTAAAAATAGATTTATCCTATAATCCAGCAATCACACTACTGGGTATTTACTCAAAGAATACAAAAACACGGGCAACCCTCTCAGGTCCCCTCCCTCTTTGGGAGCTTTGTACTATCACTTTGCTATTGCTCAATAAACCTTGCTTTGCTGCCCACCACTCTGTCTTCATTCTTTGAAGCAGCGTGACCAAGGACCATGTGTACCGACAGAGAAAAAAATACTGTACCATTTACCCATTTACGGGGGCTTGTCAGGGATCTCCACCATTGTTAAGGACAACTAACCAATAAAGGTCCTCAAACTCCAAATGGTGGTTCAGATGGAGCCTCACATGGAGGTCAAACCAGACATCTACAAGGGACCCCTTGATAGATTGGGATGATAGGAACCTTGGCTGCCACCCCATCCAACGCCCCTGACCAGAAAGAAGTAGCAATGATCAGTCGTTGCCCTTCTTCCCTAACAGCAGTTAGGGTTACCTCTTCAGAGGGGAGAACGATGTATAGTTGGAAGGCAGGCACGCAGGCAGGGACAAGGGGCTCCCGCCCGAAGAGGAAGCCACCCTTAAAAAAGCCACTCCTTACACCACCCTGGAAGGAGTCCTCCACCCTTTCCCAGATGACAGACAAATATCTGATTGGATGACAGGTGTAGGGAGGGTTAATCAGATTAAAACAGCCCAACAAGCCCATAAAAACCCCTAGACTTAGAAACTTCGGTGGCAACCCTCTTGGGTCCCCTCCCTCCTCGGGAGCTTTGTACTATCACTTTACCATTGCTCAGTAAACCTTGCTTTGCTGCCCCCCCCAGAAAACCCCACTAATGCAAAGGGATACATGCACCCCTATATTTATAACAGCATTATTTATAATAGCCAAGATATGGATGTAGCCCAAGTGTCCATCAATTGGTGAATGGAAAATGAAGATGTGATACACACACACACACACACACACACACACAGGAATATTATTCAGCCATAAAAAAGAATGAAATCTTGCTATTTGCAAAGACATGGATGGAGCTAAAGAGTATAATGCTAAGAGAAATAAGTCAGTCAGAGAAAGACAAATACCATATGATTTCACTCGTATGTGGAATTTAAGAAACAAAACAAAGGAGCAAAGGGGGGGAAAAGACAAATTAAACAGACTCTTTTTTAAAGTTTTTTTAAATTAACATATAATGTATTATTTGTTTCAGGGGTACAGGTCTGTGATTCATCAGTCTTACACAATTCACAGCACTTACCACAGTACCTACCCTCCCCAATGTCCATCACCAGCCACCCCATCCCTTGCACCCCCCCCCCACTCCAGCAACCCTCAGTTTGTTTCCTGAGATTAAGAGTCTCTTATGGTTTGTCTCCCTCTCCGGTTTCGTCTTGTTTCATTTTCCCCCCTCTTCCCCTATGATCCTCTGTCTTGTTTCTCAAATTCCTCATATCAGTGAGATCAAATGATACTTGTCTTTCTCTGACAGACTTATTTCGCTTAGCATAATACCCTCTAGTTCCATCCACGTCATTGCAAATGGCAAGATTTCATTTTTTGATGGCTGCATAATATTCCATGTGTATATATAGTACATCTTCTTGATCCATTCATCTGTTGATGGACATCTAGGCTCTTTCCATAGTTTGGCTACTGTGGACATTGGGGTGCATGTGTCCCTTCAGATCACTACATTTGTATCTTTGGGGTAAATATCCAGTAATGCAATTGCTGGATCGTATGGTAGCTCTATTTTCAACTTTTTGAGGAACCTCCATACTGTTTTCCAGAGTGGCTGCACCAGCTTGCATTCCCACCAACAGTGTAGGAGGGTCCCCCTAGGAAACAGACTCTTAACTATAGAGAACATAGTGATGGTTACCAGAGGGGAGGGGGGAGGGATATATCCTCTGCCCCACCCCCTGCATGCCCTCTCTCTCAAATAAATAAAATCTTTAAAAATAAATAAGTAAAATGTCTGGATTGATCCTCTACATCTCTTTCTTTTTCATATTTTCTATCTTCTATTTTCTGAAAGATTTTCTTCCAACCTATTATTGATCTGTTCAAATTTTGGAAATCATGTATTTATTTTTCAAGAGTTCTATTTTGTTTTTTGAGTAGCCTTTTGAATAGCATCTTTGTCTTGTTTTATGGATGCAGTACCTTTTCAAATCTCTTTGGAAATAAATTTAAAACTTATTGAAAATTTTCTTTTGTTCCCTGCATTACCCCTGTTTAAGCTTCTATAAAGCCTTATTTTTATCTTGGTCTTTCTCTCATTATATTGAAGGCATGCCATGTATTAAGTATGGGAACCTCTGTGCATTGAAAAGCTGATTGGGCATTCTGTGTACATGAGCAATGTTTGCCAACTGTCAGGTTGGATAAAGTTAATTAAATGTTGAGTTGGGCATTACGATGTGGAAACTCCCAACTGTCCAAACCTGGAGGTCTTTTTTCTGATATCATTCAATTTCTTTAAATTTTTTTTTTCCTGGAATAACATCTTGTTGCTGAATGGTCAGTCAGCAGAAGTGTGTATGCGTGTGGTTTTATTTATTTATCTATCTTGGGAGTCTTCATTTGGACATTTAACCCCCCTCTATTTTTAGTCCCTCATTTCATCCCTTCCATCTGTATCCTGTGCATCAAGACTCCAAGCTTTGGCTTTATCCTGCTGCATCAGTTACCACTGTTAAAAAGAAAACCACAGGCCCAAAATGGCATCACTTGGGCCAGGCTGAGTCACCAAACTGGGGCTTAAAACCTAACCTAACTGCAGATTCAACCTCCCCCAGAAATAGAACTTAACCTGTCAATCAGAAATTGTCTGAACAGCACCAATGATATAATTTGTCACATGGGCCGTCTCCATTCCCCCAAAAAGGAAGATGAAGTAATCCATCTAAAAAGATCCCCTGCCCTTCTCCCTAAGGGAGGGTGATTTTGCCTGAAACAATCCTTTCTTTTCTTTTGCTTGCCCCATTCTCCTTTCTTTTTATTTTTTTTAATGAAATATAGTTAATACACAATGTTACATGAGTTTCAGGTGTACAACATAGTGAATCAACAATTCTAACCATTATACTATGCTCACAAGTGTGGCTACCATCTATCATCATACAATGCTACTGCAATATCACTGACTATATTCTTTATGCTGTGCCTTTTATTCCTGTAACTTATTCATTCCAGAATAGGGAGCCTGTATCTCCCATTCCCTATATCCATTTTGCCCATCTCCTACCCCATCCTCCTTTCTATAGAAAGCTTCCATTTCGTACAACTTCTTGAAACTCCCCTTTACTTGCTAGATGGGATGCTGCCCAATTCATGAATCACTTAATAAAGCCAATCAGATCTTCAAATTTACTCAGTTGAATTTTGTTAATACCACTCATCCTCCATCTATATTCCACCTTGCAGAATTTTGTTGAAATCTCTCACCCTCTGACGGGTTCTCCTGCTCTTGTTACAGGTTTATATGTTCTTTTTATTCCTTCACCATCATTTTGGTGGAGTGTTGAAAGTAGATAAAAACACATATTCAATTTACCACCTTGAATGAGACTGCTTAATTTCAGAAGTATTTGTGTTACAAACTGCCCTCCTATCCTTGTATATTTGGTCTTGTGAACAGTATAAATTTTCTAGAAGAATAAAGAAGTGTCTCTGTATATTATGGGAGTAAGGTTCACATAACCTTGGGTGGTTTAAAGTATCCTACTGAGTGATCTGGACAAGGGGAAGTACTAAAGATACTTATGGCACTGTGAGATAAACTCTCTCTTCATGACTTCAGAAGCCTGGTTACTCATTTACAACTGGGATAAGAGAAATGTTCAAATAACTAGAGAAGTTCTATAAAACACTTGTTAAGTTTTTATTCTACTACCGAACCGTGTTCCCATTAACCTCTGGTTACCTCTAAATTTCCAACATCTGGAAGAGAACAAGCTCTGGCATCACCCAGCCAGCCCCTCCTACATCCTACTCACTCAAAGAATTTCCCCTTTGAGCGATTATAACATTGGCTGCTTACTCACACCAGATTCCTTAGGATTGGCCGGGACTGCAAATAAAACGTTGTTTGCCTATAATGAGGTCGATAAGCTGCTACGTAAATGCACACAAGCTCCCAGTCTTAAAACAGGACACGAAGCATTTGCTATCTTCTTTCCTTTTATTATTTTCATGTGAAACCTGGAGAGTAAACATTCTCCCTGGCCAAAAGAAAAGGTCTTTGAAGGAAGGAAAAAAAACAAACCCTAAAATGGGTCTACTGAGTTCTAAAAACCGCGAGACCAAGCAAGCCCGGATTCTTCTTTTGGGACTTGACTCAGCTGGGAAGTCTACCCTCCTTTACAAATTAAAGCTTGCTAAGGGTATTACGACCATCCCAACAGTAGGTTTCAACGTGGAGATGATCGAGTTGGAAAAGAGTCTTTCACTCACGGTCTGGGATGTTGGAGGACAGGAGAAAATGAGAACCGTGTGGAAGTATTACTGTGAGAACACCGATGGGCTGATGTATGTTGTGGATAGTACGGACAAGCAGCGACTGGAAGACTCCAGGAGAGAGCTGAAGCACATTTTGAAGAATGAACACATTAAAAATGTGCCTGTTGTCCTGTTAGCCAACAAACAGGATGTACCTGGAGCTCTGACTGCCGAAGACATCACCAGAACGTTCAGAGTGAAGAAGCTCTGCAGTGACCGGAACTGGTATGTGCAACCCTGCTGTGCCATCACCGGGGATGGACTGATGGAGGGGTTCAGGAAATTGACTGGATTTGTGAAAAGCCACATGAAATCAAGAGGAGACACTTTAGCATTCTTTAAGCAGAACTGAGGTCCAAGCAGTGACATATTGATGAAATTGAAAAGGTAATTTTTTTCCTATGCCAAGTGAGAAAAGCAAGTTGCCGAGTTAGCAAACTTTTCCTAAAAGGTTATTTCACCTAAATTCAGCTAAAAACTTAGAATAATATCTAGAAAATATTATTTTTAGTAAACTATGTGGTAATGATAGTTGAGAATAAAATCTTACAATTTTGTGCATGTTGGATGAATAAGAATAATTGTGTTTGGGACCAAATAAATTATTGCTTTATTGTTTTTATATGACTACTAGAACAAAGTTTAAGTAAACTGCTAATAGGGTCAGAATTCTTTCAGATGGTTTCCAGCTGTTACAGTATTGAATTTCTACCACACTCCTATGAAACAGCCAGTAAAAAATAGAACTTTAAATTATGGAGAGGAAAAAGTTTGATGTTAACATCTTGTAGATCCCCATGCCTTAAATGAAGTTTTTTTCTGGATTCCGGCCAACTCTTTGAAATCTATTGCTGGGAACTTCCTACAGTGAGTCAAACAAAGAACTTCAGGCTGTTAATTGCCCAGAAACATAGGAAGAAGTTTATACTTTAAAGTTCTGGGGACCAGGGTAGCTAGCTCCTTAGAGTTTAGGGCGAGGCCTGGGTTTTGCTCAGCTTGAGGTTAGAGCCCCAAGATGGGCTTATGTAGAATTCGGTAGAACAGTCATTACTCAGGAATATATGAACAGCTCACTGCAATGATCAAACAGGAACCAGAGCCAGACTTTAATCTCAGAGACTTTGCAATTCACAGGAGGAAGCAACGTAAAGCTAGTAGCTAGAATAGGGCAATAAGTACTATGTGTGATAACAGGAGCAACTCTTTTCTGACCTGGGAAAATAGGAAGTGCTTCATGCAGGAGGTAGTCTTTTTTTTTTTTTTTTTTTAAAGATTTTATTTATTTATTTGACAGACAGACACAGCGAGAGCAGGAACACAAGCAGGGGGAGTGGGAGAGGGAGAAGCAGGCTTTCCGCTGAGCAGGGAGCCCGATGTGGGACTCGGTCCCAGGACTCTGGGATCATGACCTGAGCTAAAGGCAGACGCTTAACGACTGAGCCACCCAGGCGCCCGAAGGAGGTAGTCTTTAAGAAGGTTCCCAACTCCTAGGGACCCATGAAGGTGGAGGTTAGTCACTGGAAGTTCCCATCACTAGAAGACCCTAAAGAGCCACTGTGGGGGAGGGGAGAAGGAACTGGGGATTGAATTGGAATTCCCCTGACAGGCTCAGAACTCCCAGGAAGGTCCTGGTGCTAACAGATGACACTTTCTTCCTGCCCCACCTCTAACAAAGCTCATTTGGGCTAGAAGAAGCAGGCGTCAAGCCCTGACAGCAGCCCCTGGGGCTCCAAATCTTAAGGTCACAGAAGAAAATAAATGTTCAAGGGTGCTAGCCCCTGAATTCCTCTCATGGTTTCCTTCTCTCACCCTAGCCATGATCTTTATAGCAAAGATCTGAGTGCTGCATGGTAGGGATTCAAATATAAAGTAGACATACATATGGTTAACAGTTACCATTGGTTGAATGCTTGTCTGTGCCAGGTGTTGTGTAATCGCTTTCATTCATCTCATTTAATGCTGACAACTGCCCTGAGAGAAATTAGCATTATTATGTCAATTTTACAGAGGAGAGTACTGAGACTAAACAAGGTAATAACAATAACAACCACACAAAACCTAATTTGTATTTTAACTGAGGAGTGGCAGAGTCAAGATTCAAACTCATCTGTCTAACTTCAAGGCCAGTACTGTTACTTGTCATATTGTTCTGTAAATAAGGTATGGTGTCTATCTTCTATGAGCTTACTATACACAATCAAGAATAAATCCAAGCTAAGGGCACCTGGCTGGCTCAGTCAGTGGAGCATGTGACTCTTGATCTCTGGGTTTTAAGTTTGAGCCACACAGTGGGTATAGAGATTACTTAGAAAAATAAAATAAAATCTTTAGAAAAAAAGGGAAGCTAAATTAAAAATAAAACTACCATATGATCCAGCAATCCTACTACTGGGTATATATCCAAAGCAAATGAAATCACTACCTTGAAGAGGTATCTGCACTTCCATATTAATTGCAACATTATTCACAATAGTCAAAATGTGGAAACAACCTAAGCATCCATCAATGGATTAATGGATGAATGGATAAAGAAAATGTGGTACATATACACAATGAAATATTATTCAGCCATACAAAAGGGAAATCCTGATATCTGTGACAACATGGATGAAACCGGAGGGCATTATGTTAAGTGAAATAAGTCAGACACAGAAAGACAAATATTCTGTGATTTCACCTTTATGGGGAATCTAAAACAGCCAAACTCACAGAAACAAAGTAGATTGGTGGTTAAAAGAGGTTGGGGATGGGGTAAGGGGAAATGGGGAGACATCTGTAATAGGGCACAAACTTTCAATTATAAGATGAGTAAGTTCTGAGGATCTAATGTACAGCATGGTGACTACAGTTAATAATACTGTATTGCATACTGAATTTGCTAAGAGAGTCAATCTTAAGCATTCTCCTTAAAAAAAAAGTAAGGAGGATGTGTTAACTCAACTGTGGGAATCCTTTTACAATGTATATCAAATCATCACATAGTGCACTTTAATATATTACTATATATGTAATACATATTACAATTTTATTTGTCAATTATACTTTAGTAAAGCTGGGGGGGAAATAAATGCAGGCCAACATATAATACTTCTATATTAAGAAGGTTCTTTGAGGGGTACCTGGCTCGGTGGGTTAAGCATCTGACTCTGCTCAGGTCATAATCTCAGGGTCTTGAGATCAAGCCCTGCTTCAGGCTCTGCGCTCAGCGGGGAGTCGGCTTGAGATTCTCTCCCTCTCCCTCTGCTCCTCTCTACCCACCCCCCCAATAAATAAATAACATCTTAAAAAAAGAGAAGTTTCTTCGAAAAAACAAGCCAGACAGAATAAATTAAGTGCAATAACAGATATAAGAAACATGCTGACAGACTGGCAAAAAAAGTTTCTGATTTCAGGAAGATCTCAGTGGGGATCTTCAATGTTAAATGCTTGGTAGTAGTTTTTCCTAAGTTCCACAAAATTATTAAAACCACAAATATGCATCTTTTTTAAAAAATGCATCCTCTCTGGGCGCCTGGGTGGCTCAGTTGGTTAAACGACTGCCTTCGGCTCAGGTCATGATCCTGGAGTCCCGGGATCGAGTCCCACATCGGGCTCCCTGCTCAGCGGGGAATCTGCTTCTCCCTCTGACCCTCCCCCCTCTCATGCTCTCTCTCTCTCTCTTTCTCTCTCTCAAATAAATAAATAAATAAAATCTTGAAAAAAAAATGCATCCTCTCTTACCGGTTTCCCTATGTGGTTAAAAAAAAATCTTCCCAATAATCTTAAAATCAGGAGTCACTAATTACGTCTATAGGAAATGTCTGACTAGAAAACATCACCTGGTGGTCCTCAGTATTTTTGTATTCTGAATTGAGGGAAGCCCTTGTGGCCTAGTCTTAGCATAATGTAAAATTAAAAAGAAATAATTCCCCCAAATATAAAAATCAATTAAAATCTTCAATTGAGAAAGCTCTAGCTGTGGGTAGTGGGTGTGCTGGGCAGATACATTCTTAATGTAAGAGCAAAAGTTACAAAGTAGCTTTTCCTCTGTCATTTCAACATCTCCCCCAGAGGGCAGTTATTCCTCAAAGTCTCTAGCAATCTTGTCTGAGAAACTTGAACATTTCCATGCTTTTCCCCTTTCTTCCCTGGGATCCAATCTATTTTTTTTCATCAGTCACTTGCTTTCGTTTCAATGTACATTTTACCAATCTTTCCTTTCTTTGGCATCTCCCTCCAACTCTCCCTAGCATGCTCCTCTTACCCTCCAACACACATACAAACACATACCTCCACACTCTTCATTCTGATTCACCTAATAAAGCCCAAAATTGAGGGTAGGGGAAAAGATGAGGTGCACAAAAGCAAAATATTCCTTAACAGGCAAGAGGAAAGAGGCTGTGAATATTCATGCCTTGAGATTTATTATTGTCATTCATCTTATTCTGTTATCTATATGTAACAAGGCAAAACTTTTAATTCGTCAAAATAGCATATTGCCATGGATCTGTAGCAAACAAAAGCACATCACTTCTGAAATGTTCCTTCCTTAAGGACTTAAAACTCTGAAAGGTAAATACCAGTTAAATATTTTTATCTGATTTTCTAAGTATTCCCAGGTGAAAAAAAAATCCCAACAGGGTCTAAGAATAAAGAATGACAAATAAATAAAGCATCAGCATTGACTAATACATGTTAAAATTAATTGGTCAATTTAAAAAGCTGAACATCACTATGTTCTGATGATGAACAATCTGGCTCTGCCAAAACAAGAAAGACTGGGAATTTCAGAGTCCTGAAGTTCTTGTACCTTATGGGCGGTACTGGAGGACGATCTGCAGAGGCTTCAGTGTGTTGAGTATGTGAAGGAACAACCCAAGAAACAGTATATCTCTCATGCTTCTCGAAGAGTTGGCCTGCTCTTGTATGCAAGAACTCTCCAGAGTGAAAGAGGGAGAATGAAAGAGAGAAAATGAGAGAGAGAGAGAGAGAGAGAGAGAGAGAGAGTGAGACAGAGAGAGGCAAAGCACAGACTTCTCCTTTGGTAGTGCTAACGTGTACTTTAACAGAATCTGGGATTTAGTGTCACAGGGGTTTCAGTCCACCAGATGTTTAGCATAGTGCTGACTGTTAACAGATTCAGCTACTTCAAGCAGGAGAATGTGCATTTTACCTTGAAAGTGCCACACAAATATAAAAATGAGTTATTAGATGACTTAGTATTTTCACAAACATTACCTCAGTCTGTTCTCTCAAAATCTTATGGGGAGTCAAAACAAATATTGTCAACACCATTTTAAAGATAGGAAGAACTGATTAAGCAGTTATTGAGCCTAGTCCTCTGATTTCCAGGATTTTTCAAAAAGTGTAATT